CCCCAGGATGGAATTGATCCCCATGGAAGCTCTGAGGAAGAGGAGGACTCACGGCTGGGAGTGCGCGGTCTCGTAGCGCTCGAAGGAATGGGACAGGTCGTGTTTGTTGTTCATGTAGCACTGCGTGCACAGGTCGTAGTCAAAGCACATTTTGCATTTCCACCTCATGCCTCTGATGCCGTGCTTCTTGCAGCAGTCACAGATGATGTTGGGGTGACGGACACCTGAGGGAGTAAAAGGAAATGGGAGATCCAAAAGAGTTCCAGGGAAAAATCGGGATTTCAGAGCCACCCTCCCAGCACTGCAGAATGCCCAAACCCTTCTAGATAAAACCTTTGGGATCCACACAAATTCCAGGGAAAAATCAGGATTTCAGAACCACCCTCCCAGCACTGCAGAATGCCCAAATCCTTCTAGAAAAAAGATCTTTGAGATCCACAGGAATTCCAGGGAATATCAGGCACTTAGAACCACCCTCCCAGCACTGCAGAATGCCCAAATCCTTCTAGAAAAAAGATCTTTGAGATCCACAGGAATTCCAGGGAATATCAGGATTTCAGAACCACCCTTTCAGCACTGCAGAATGCCCAAACCCTTCTACAAGAAAACACCGAGATCCACACAAATTCCAGAGAAAATCAGGCTCTTAGAATCAGCTTTCCAGCACTGCAGAATGCCCAAATCCTTCTAGATAAAACCTTTGGGATCCACACAAATTCCAGGGAAAAATCAGGATTTCAGAACCACCCTCCCAGCACTGCAGAATGCCCAAACCCTTCCAGAAAAAGACCTTTCATTGAGCCAAGTACTTCACAGGAGTGCTTCACACACAAACACAAAGCACCTAGAAATCCTGTGAGTCCTGTGTTTACCTCTTTACAGCTTCTAATATTCCTATTTTTAATCTCAGTCATGTCTAAAGTAAATATCTCTGTTCATTACAAAGTGCTCATGGGAGAGTGCCATGCTTAGTGCTGGGCATTGATACAGCTCTGTTTCCAAAGAGAAATTATTCAAGGGCTGGAAAACCCTGGCACAACTGCTCTGAATGAACCTACTCCTCTAATCCACACTTTACAGAATTAGGACAAACAACTGTAAAGGGGATTTGAATGAAATTTGATGAGTGCATGTTTTAAAGGGGAAAAAAATTGTGTATTGTAGGTGATGCAATAATACAATGTGAATGATATGTGTAATTTGAAATATCCATTTCCTGGCTAGAGGGCCTCTCAGCAGCATGACAAAGGCAGTGAAAGTGTTCAGCTCATAGATGGAAAAAGTAGGAAAGCAGAGCCCTTGCACAGAGGGAAACAGGAATGTCCTGGCCATGCAGAGGTGATGCCAAAGGCACAAAGGACAGGGGCAGGAGGTGGCTGTGCCCATGGCTGTGCCCATGGCTGTGCCCTTGCCCAGGCCCTGCTCAAGCTTAGAGGGAAACAGGAACATCCTGGCCATGCACAGGTGGTGTCAAAAGGCTGTCTCAGGACAAGGGACAGGGACAGGAGGTGACTGTGCCCTTGCCCAGGCCCTGCTCAAGCTCAGAGGGAAACAGGAACATCCTGGCCATTCACAGGTGGTGTCAAAAGGCTGTGCCAGCACAAGGGACAGGAGCAGGAGGTGGCTGTGTCCTTGCCCTGCTCAAGCAGAGCCTTTGCACAGAGGGAAACAGCAATGCCCTGGTCATGCACAGATTGAGTGTGCTCTGCCCACAGGTGCCAAAGGCTGTCACAGCACAAGGGACAAGTGGTTGTGCCCTTGCCCTGCTCAAGCAGAGCCTTTGCACAGAGAGAAACAGGAACATCCTGGCCATGCACAGGTGGTGTCAAAGGCTGTCCCAGCACAAGGGACAGGGGCAGGAGGTGACTGTGCCCTTGCCCAGGCCCTGCTCAAGCTCAGAGGGAAACAGGAACATCCCGTCCACGAACAAGGCTCAGCACTGCTCTGCTGTTTCATGGGGCAGCCGTGACGTGGGGCAGGAGGTGGCTGTGCCCATGGCTGTGCCCTGCTCTGCTCACCGATCTGGGCGTTGTCATAGAGCAGCAGGTCGTAGGCCCCCTGGAAGCCCGTGCGATAGTTGGTCCTGTTGCCCTGATCCCACTGCACCACCACGGTCTTGTCGGGCGTGGTGGGGCTGCCGGTGCGGCCGATCTCCACCACGGTGCCCACGTTGCCCTCGCCGCTGTCCTGGCTGCCCCATTTCCAGTCCACACCACGGACTACCCTCATCCCGACCTGCATGCTGGCATGGGGGTCCAGCTCCATGGATCTGCACAGCAAACCCTACAGCTCCTCCTCCACGGGGGTCTCGGAGATGGGCGGGATCACGGGCAGCGCTGGCGGCGTCGTGGGCAGCATGGTCAGCACACCTGGAAATACAACAGGAATTTAGGGGATGCCATTCCATGCATCACATTTCCCTCCTCCAGAATGATGTGGCTGATAAAGCCTGACCAGCTGAGCAGGTAAATCTCTGTTTTATTCAGAACTCACGTTTTAAGCACTGATGGGAACGATATAAAAAATGATTGTCACAGTTTAAGCACTGATGGGAATGATACAAAAACTGACCAGGCTTCCAAGGCTCATCAGCATCTGCAATAATACCCAAAAACTTCTTCCTGAGAGCTGTGCATGAGGGAAGAGAACCGAGCAAGGAGTCTACAAAATTCCAGTAGGAGCCCTCGATTCCAAACTCAAGAAAAAGCACAAGAGCCACCAGAGACACAACAGCAGCAGGAACAAGCAAGCACAGTAAATAAAATGAAAAGAAATGACCAAGAAAACACCAACAGAACGATTTTAGCAATAAAAGTCAATCTTAGTCTATTTTTCAGGAAGTCTCCTCACATGCATCTTATCTGAATACAGCACTGTCGAGTTTCACTTGCCCTTCAAGGCAGTTTTGGTTTTGATTTGAGGATACAGGAAGTTCTAAAACCTGAAAGAAGCGTTTGTCTGTTTCCCCCAAGTAACGGCAGCTTTTCAAAAACACAGCCAATGTCAGATTAATTTCAGCCTTTTCCTGTTATTTATCCATGAGCTACAGCAGGAACAGGGAAGGGCTGTTGCTCAATCTGCAATAAACGCAGCAGATTTAGTGCTGGGATCAGTGAGACAGGGACAGCCTTCCCAACTGTTGCCATGACAATGGGTAAATGAGGTGAACACCACACAGATGCAGCACATCCTCAATCCTGAATTAAATCACATTCTTCAATCAAGCAGATTCTCAAATCATTGTTTCTCTCTTTACCAGCACAACAAGACAGAGAAGAATGTGGTTTTCACTATGTAGAGCCTGGAAAAATCTCCTGTGGCATCTTTGGATCTCGCTCTTCCTCCTGAGCTATCCATGACATCCAGATTTTCTCAAAAATTGAAAAGAAGGCCCAAGAGGATGCCAAGGGATGAATAATGCACATGGCACAAACAAAGCTCCCCGAGTGCCACGACACAGAGGGTGAGGAGCTGGTCCAGCTGAGGGGATGTGCTCAGCCCCAGCAGCACGAGCAGCTCTGGGCCCTGGGATGTGCTGTCAATGCTCCCACCCACCAATAAAAGCAACTGAAACCACCAAACCCTAAAAATAAACCCATCCTCCAGCCAAACATCCCCTTTTGAATGCATGGAGGAGTCATTTGATGCAAAAAATCACATTTCCAGCGTGCAGCCTGAGCCTGATTTCTGCTCAGCTTCAGCCTCTCCCTGTCCTCAGTGCTGTGACATCCCAAAGCTGTCACAGGAGAACAGCATCAAACCCAGCTGTCCTTGTGAACTCCCCATCATCCTCCCTCCTAAGCAGCATTAAAAGTGGCCCAGGGCGACTCTTTCATTTGTTTTTGTGGGGGTGGATGGAACATTGCTGAGCTGAAGGTGCACCAGTGGTTACTGCCTTGATGAGAGCAGGAATTATCAAAGAATATTCTTCTTAGAGCCTGGTGAGATTTTTCCCCTCTTCCTCCAGATCAGAGATGAATAAAATGACTATTTATTGCTTCAATTAAGAGGCAGAACAGCTTTTTTTTAAAGGCTGCTGTGAACCAGTCAAGGCAGTCAAGCAGAGAAAACAAATGGGAACATCCAACAATGCAAAATAAAGCACAATTCAATTACTGTTACAGGGCTTTTCCCTAAAAAGAATCACCACCACCCCTTCCTGTTTCATCCAAGGGAACTGGGGGTGGCTACTAACAGAAGGAAAAGGAATTCCTTGCTTAGGGAAGGAAACAACAAATTTCACAGGGTGGGGATAGAGGGTCACTCCCCAGCCCTAAGAGTTCTCTGCCATTTATTTCACTGGGTCTTCTTCCTCTCTCCAGGAATGAATGAACCACCACAGGCTCAGAACTCTCAGTATTCCAAGGAAGGCAATGCCAGTTCCAGCAATTATTGATCAAAGAACATTCCAGGCTGTCCCACAAACCCACAAAATGTAAATCCCCAGAGCACAAAGGAGGATAATCCCTCCCTAGCAGAGCAGGCTGGCACTGCCACATCCAGGCAAGAGCCCAGCAGAGAATCCCAAAAAGGGTCCCAAAAAGGCAAACCCACACTGTCCCTGTGCACCTTCCCACAAATTTTGGATTTTGCTGGAGCTCAGCTGCACACTGCTGATGCTGAATGTTTTTAAAGGAGCTGTCAGTGCTGCAAAAATCACCAGCAGCCCCTTGCTGGCTGATCTGAGGATGCTTTCCTAATGTGAATAATTTCATTTTCCACACAAGAAGGCACCAAGTGCATCCTGCAGCTCCATCTCCTCTGCAGGGGAGATGCAGAGCAGGAGGAAAGGGATGTTCAAAACCTTTATGAGATGAATTACAGCACTCTTGTGATCTGAGCCTTGCCAGAGCAGCATTATTGACTTCCTAAGTGGAAATGTTTCACTCACTGAAGCAAATACTCCCTCCCTTGATGCTGCCTGGGCTGTAATTATTCCAGGGAAGGACAGGTAGAGCTGCCAGAAATAATTCACAGTGAAAACATCAACTTCCCATGGGAATTTCAAGTAACCATGAACGAATAATCCATTATAAGAAAAGCAGATTTTTGAATCCTCATCTCACATTCTGACCTTGCCTATTGTGACACAGGAAAAGATCAACCTTGATGTAACCTCACAGTTTTAGGAAATCCCATTAAAACTTAACAGGAAAAAAGAGAAATAAGTCCAGCTTTCAGCCCACAACATTTTAGCTGCAATAATTGTGGCAATATTCAACTGTGACAGCCCAGTTTCCATTTCATGGGAGGCAAAGGTTGCTGCTGGTCTGGCCCCACAGCAAACAGAACCCAGTGCTGCAAGCACCTGACAAAAATCAGTGCCTGGAACCCGGTGATCACATTATTTGAACAGCATGGTAAACAGAGAAGTGTTTAAAACCAAAAAAAAAAAAAAAAAACTTTTTTTTTTCTTCCCTTTACACATATTTTGAAGTTTGAATTGTTTTCTGAGGTGAATTGCTCTGTTTTAGAGAGGTTTGCCCATGCAGGAGATGCTTCCTCAGGCAACTGCAAATCACACTTCTCCAAAATTCCCAACTTCCCCAAGTGATCAGCCCCCAAAGCAGCCAGCATCACACTGAACATTTTGAAAATAACATTCCATTTCTTACTCTTTTCATTCTCTTTGACTCTTCCAGTGCCATTAAATAAAGTCTTTTTAAGCCATTAGAAGTGTAGACTGATCAGCCACCACCACTGTAAAGCTTCAAGAGTTAATTTTGTACATCCTCACATCAAGAACATCAACACAGACACAATTTTGGCTGAATTAAGCCAGCTCATATTGACTTTAAAATTGTTGGTTTTTAGCACTTTCTCCATTACTCCTGTGAGCATTTCCCTACAGAAATAAAGCTCAGCAGGGTTTTCCCCCTTTCCTGACACAAATTTCACAGCTCAGTGCCTGCCCAGAACTCACCTGCACAATCAAATATTGTTCCCTACCTGTTTTCCTACCTGCAAGCCAGAAATAAATAATTTTGTATTCTTTAATAACAGACAACCAAGATCAAATAGCTCTGCTCAAGGCTTACAGCTGCTAAGTTTATTACCAAAGTTAACATTCATGGCAAAAACCTTAAATTCACACAAATATGGACAGTATTAGATGAAAACAGAGCAGAAAATCAGCAAATCACACAGGAAATCAGGATTTTTTGACCCACCACCACATGGACAGTGCCTTGCTGCAGAGAAGCTGTGGCTGCCCCACCCCTGAAGTGTCCAAGGCCAGGTTGGGTTTGGAACAACCTGGGGTATTGGGAATAGGATGGAACCCAAATCCAAATCCAACCCAAACCAGTCTGGAACTCTGTGAGATTGCCCTGCAAAGCCACCAGGCCTCAGTGAGACTTTTATTCTCCTTGTGCAGTCAGGAATTTTGTTTAGTCTAAAATTCTGCAAAATGGCATCACTGGCACAGGGGAGGGAGGCAGAGAGGAGCAGATGCTGCTTTTGTGGCTTAATTAAAAATTAAGCAAAAAAATGAAGGCATTTTATTGATAAATCAGTCTGACCTGAAACCAATAAATTCAGATATGGGGCAGCTGCCACTGGTGAAACCAATCAATCAAAAAATAATTTAAAAAAAAGCCTGCATGAGGTGAAATCATTTCCAGGCCCAAACCTCACGTGCTCCCAGAGTATATTTAACTGTATTACATAAACAGAATAAAGCAGGTGATTAATAGGCCTTTGCTCAGGGATTAATATCTTGTCATTCCAGCATGAGAGAAGGCACAGGCACATCCTGAAACACAGGGAGGAAATGCTAAAAATAACCAGGCAGGCTCAGAGTCCCCACCGAGCATTTTATCTCTGCAATCAACACTTGGCCTTTACAAATGCCAGCCCATTGATCTGTTTTGCCCAAATTGAATTTTACATTCCATTTTACACTGCTTGTGTTCTGGCACTGAGTTGCTTCTTTCCCTTTCAGCAATATTTGAGTGGTTCTCACTCTGCTTTTCCATCTATTCCTTCATCTTGTTAAAGGATGCAGGTCAAAAGGAAGCACCAGCAAATTTATTAATATTCAGGAGTAGTAGCTTTGTGCAAACTCTTCATTCCAGCATTCTGGTTTCCTAAAAAATGGATATCAATCTCAGAATAAATGATCTCAATAAATGATCTTCCACCTAAAAGTGGAAGAAGTTAGAGAGAAGTTACACATCTTAAAGTTTGGGTTCAAAGGGTGTCAGCATGGCAGGACCCAAAAGCTGCAGTGGACACAAAAACTGAACTGAGCTGGCCTTGAACCTTCAATTTAACTCAAATTTCAACCCCTCTGTGATGACCACAGGCACAGAAAAGTGAACCTGCTCCAGAAACATAACACTGATCTGCACAAAATCCAAACTGGCTT